TTCTCTTTTGGTCATCTCTTTTATCCTGGTTCTTAGTTCTTCATTTTCTTTGATTAGATCCTTCTCTCTGGCATAAGACTTCTTGAACAACTTGTCATGAGCATCGAGTCTATCCTGTAGGGACTGAACCAACTTTACTAGGGAGTGGTTTTCTCCCTCGGCACGGAGGGATTCACCATGATCTTCAATTTGATAGTTCTAATTCTTTGAGGGCTTGAAACTGGCAGATGACATATCTTCGCCTTCATCGGATCTAGAAGGGTTACCTCTTGCCTGAAATCGTGCGTTGCTTCCAGGTGGGATGGATGCAGGATCAGAGTCTTCCAAGGCGAAACTGCCTCTAGGTGATCCGATTGCACTTCTAAGTTTAGACATTGTGGCTTCTTGTTGCAAAAGATGGAAATTTTCCCACAGACGACGCCAAATGTAAGAGGTAAAAAATTGAGATTACCTCCTACTGGAATTGAAATATTAATGTGTTTTTGAACTTGATCTCCCGGTCTTCCTCTTCCTGCAAAATGAACAAACCGCCCAAGATCGAAGTGCTTCGATCGAAAGTACTCTGATGCTTAAGTCAGTAGAGATAATGAAATGAATGGAAGAAGACCAAGAGGGTTCGGCGTACCTTTCACCTTGGATTCCACCGTTTTTTATAGATGGTCATCCCCTTTAGGGTTTTCATGATTTTTAATTCTAGGTGGCACACCTTCCTTCAATTCAGTGATTCGGTTTGAAAAATTGTTGATATTTCTCCATTATTTTCTCCTGATATCTTCAATTTCTCTGATTCGTTTATCTGATTGCCTATGTTATATGCGAATCTTTATCCTTCTGTTTATTTAAAACAGCTCAGACATATCAAATGCCGAGCACACTTGATATTTGCTGAACAGATTAGGACTCTTTGTTTGGCACAAACCGATTTCTTCAATTGTCTTGCTGAATATTTTAACGGACTCAGCTTGGTACAAGCCGAGTTCTTTCCTTACTTAGCTGAACTAATGAGTTCGGTCATAAAGAGACCCGAACTTTCTCTGCTATTGTCGAACCTCTAATTAACTTGGCTTAGTTAAAAAACTTAGTACATAATTTTGTATCACGTATCTTATCTTGTCAACATCGTGTGAGCACATTTAATATCATATCATATGTAATTGCGAGGTTTAACCTCTTCAATGTTCAACGGTTTGTAAGATTTTTCCTCTATAAGTCAGAAGTCAACTTTGGAGGTGTTCAGACACGAGCTGCATTGAATGACGTTGGGCTTTGTTTCTGGCATTGAGGAGGTCCCGCTGCTTATTGGCTGTCTCAGCTCTGATTTTGTGTTCGAGGTCGGGCTATAGATAATGGTTTATTTAATTGTGGTACCTTCTGGTTCAAATAATACTTTTAAGTTTAGTGAATTGTTTTGATAAGTGATACTTAAANGAAATAATTTATAAAAGTACTTTTAAAAAGTCACTACAAATACACTCTTAGAGGTCTATTTTTCCTATTAAATTTAAGTTGTTAATATTAGTCATTAGATTAACTTTAAAATAAAATTTAAAGCGATCTCAATCGCAAATAGCAAAAGTCATTTTGTTTATATTTTAAAATTTGAATTATAAGCAACTTTATTATATAGANAACATTATTGATCAACTAGTACTAGCGGAATAATCTCTACCACTAGACTAGTTGATGGAAAATCTCTTTTGGTTAAATTTATTCCACTAGTGGTGGACGAATGATTACTNGATAGAATAATTAAGAAAGATGATAGAAATAGTTACTTAAACCACCTAGAAAAAAACTAATTAGAGAAGCATATTTAAATAAATTAAAATGATTAAATTTTAATATTTGGAGACCAAAACTTCTCAAGTATTTTTTTATAAGTTTAATGGTTATGTTATATATAATAATATAAATTAAATAGTTACTTGGAGTTTGCAATATTACTGATCCAAAATTATCTCTTAAATGAGTAGAGATTCTTGGATGAATGAGTCCCGTTAAAAAAAAATTAACAAGATCCATTAATCCAAAATTTATACTAAATTAGAACACAGCTAGAATCCCTAACATGACTCATATATTTTCTCTTGAATTAGCTTCTAGGCAAACCATTTATAAATNGATAAAATACTATTATAAATTGGATTGAGTAATTGAACTGAATGTTTACTTATAATGAATTCGGATATGAACTACTATTTTTATATTCATTGGATAAAGCAAATCAGATTTGATAACTAGTTTTTTAGTGGAATTCAAATTTGAATTGACCCATATTCAAATTCGATTTGACGATAAATCCACATAAAACTCAAGTACGATTTACGAATTACGATAGTATTTTACTGATATAATAATATAAGAAATAGTTTCCTTATCATCAACTTGACGGTAATTATGGGNGTGAGGGATTCACTTATATATATGATAGATCTCGCTTAAATACAAGATAAATGATTTATTTTATAGATTATCTATCATTAATATATGAAAAATTCACTTATATACAATTAGTCTTATTTTTTTTTTATGGAAATGATAGAAATTTTTATTAATCAAAAATATATGAAAANTTCCTTATCATCAACTTGACGGTAATTATGGGTAGAGTTGTCCGTTTCCTTGATTTAGAGGATCAACTACGAAAGTTACACAGCATAGCACTTCAGTCAAATTGATGCAAGTAAAAGTAATTAATATTCTCAAGCAGTAAGATCCCTTTTCTCTATCCACTTCTCACCGTCACCTCTATCCCCACTCCCACTTCCACTCCAACCNAAGAACAGACATAATAAAATCAAATATATGTTTCAACCAAACAATGCTATTATCTATTGAAAGAAAATAACAAACTAATTCATTAACTACTTGATTTCTAATTTGACGAACTGTGACACTTCAAACATTCGAAACTATTTCCCGTCACTCTAGATATCATTTATAATGGCACCCAAAAAACCTAACTCCACCTCGCAATTCTGGATGGACTTCACGATTCGAACAGATCACCTTCCAATATAACTTCTCTAAAGTCTTCTTGTCTAGCAAATTAGACAACTAACTCTAGCCATAATAGTTTTCGCCGTTCTAATCTCACAGCTAATAGTCATTCTTTCGGATAAATGCCCCAACAAAATAGCCCTGTTCGTCTCTTATAACAATTCCCACTATATAAATAAGTTTTATTTAAATATATAATAAAAAATTATTATTNATATATTTTCTCTTGAATTAGCTTCTAGGCAAACCATTTATAAATGATTTATATGATAGATCTCACTTAAATACAAGATAAATGATTTATTTTATAGATTATCCATCATTAATATATGAAAAATTCACTTATATACAATTAGTCTTATTTTTTTTTTATGGAAATGATAGAAATTTTTATTAATCAAAAATATATGAAAAAAGAACAGACATAATAAAATCAAATATATGTTTCAACCAAACAATGCTATTATCTATTGAAAGAAAATAACAAACTAATTCATTAACTACTTGATTTCTAATTTGACGAACTGTGACACTTCAAANGAGAACAGCCATAATAAAATCAAATATCTGTTTCAACCAAACAATGCTATTATCTATTGAAAGAAAATAACAAACTAATTCATTGACTACTTGATTTCTAATTTGACGAACTCTGACACTTCAAACATTCGAAACTATTTCCCGTCGCTCTAGATATCATTTATAATAGCACCCAAAAAACCTAACTCCACCTCGCAATTCTGGATGGACTTCACGATTCGAACAGATCACCTTCCAATATAACTTCTCTAAAGTCTTCTTGTCTAGCAAATTAGACAACTAACTCTAGCCATAATAGTTTTCGCCGTTCTAATCTCACAGCTAATAGTCATTCTTTCGGATAAATGCCCCAACAAAATAGCCCTGTTCGTCTCTTATAACAATTCCCACTATATAAATAAGTTTTATTTAAATATATAATAAAAAATTATTATTNCAAACTAATTCATTGACTACTTGATTTCTAATTTGACGAACTCTGACACTTCAAACATTCGAAACTATTTCCCGTCGCTCTAGATATCATTTATAATAGCACCCAAAAAACCTAACTCCACCTCGCAATTCTGGATGGACTTCACGATTCGAACAGATCACCTTCCAATATAACTTCTCTAAAGTTTTCTTGTCTAGCAAATTAGACAACTAACTCTTGCCATAATAGTTTTCCCCGTTCTAATCTCACAGCTAATAGTCATTCTTTCTGATAAATGCCCCAACAAAATAGCCCTGTTCGTCTCTTATAACAATTCCCACTATATAAATAAGTTTTATTTAAATATATAATAAAAAATTATTATTGTCACGTATTGTTATTGTTTAATAGAAATATAATAAATAAATAAGTGAATTCCATATATTCTACTAACAACTCCCTCCATCCCTCCTCCGTATCATTATGTTAATCATCCAGATTTTTTAATAAAATTTTTATTTCAAAAAGTGTGACATAAATTTTTAATTAAATAAATAAATCTCAATGATAAACATTGTATCACACCAATAAAAAATTTATTAAGAAATTTAGTAAGTGAGGCTCCCTTGTTAGATGATGACACGACATTCAAGGAAATAAGGAAGTCAGAGCCCAACAGTTAGAGAAGCATTGTTGGCAATAATGAGGGATCAGAAAGCCAATTTTTATTCTTCCCAATCCCGGCGCTAGAGATGAGTTCGCAGCAGAACTGAAGGANAGCACGTATTGTTATTGTTTAATAAAAATATAATAAATAAATAAGTGAATTCCATATATTCTACTAACAACTCCCTCCATCCCTCCGTATCATTATGTTAATCATCCAGATTTTTTAATAAAATTTTTATTTCAAAAAGTGTGACATAAATTTTTAATTAAATAAATAAATCTCAATGATAAACATTGTATCACACCAATAAAAAATTTATTAAGAAATTTAGTAAGTGAGGCTCCCTTGTTAGATGATGACACGACATTCAAGGAAATAAGGAAGTCAGAGCCCAACAGTTAGAGAAGCATTGTTGGCAATAATGAGGGATCAGAAAGCCAATTTTTATTCTTCCCAATCCCGGCGCTAGAGATGAGTTCGCAGCAGAACTGAAGGAGAGAAAAAACATTGAACCGTTGAACAAGACCAGACCTATTTTTTGTATAATCTGAGTTTTGAGTTCTGAGAGAGAGAGAGAGAGATGGAGGAGAGCGGGATTCGAGGGAAATTGGAGGAGAGAGAATCAAATGATATGCCGTCGACACCGCCCATCGATCAAGTTTCTCATCTGGCTCTCGACATCGGAGGTAATTTCAGACTCTTTTTTCCGTTTCCGAATCTAGAATTCAACGTCATTTCAGTTCATTCTCTCATAATCTCATTGCTTGATTATTTTTATTGGACATGAGTTCGTGATTTTTGGTTATTTTGATCAGTATCGGTTTTTGCCCCGCCATTTTTTTTCCTGGAGTGTTTTTCTTACATCCATTTCTTTTCTTCATCAATTTTTCTTTTCAAGTGCATTTTAAACACAAAACTGCTTTGTGAATTGTGATTGCTCAATTTTTTTAGATAAATGTCATTACTTCATATCGGTAATAGCAGTTTAGTTCTAGGCATATCTACTAACAATTTTGCTTATGACTTTTGATGATATGGATCATGCTTTATTTTGATTGATTTTTAGATGCATTAATTGTGTTTGTTTGCAGGCTCTCTCATCAAGGTTGTGTATTTCTCAAGTGATTGTAACTGCTCAGTTGATGATGATCAGGACAAGAGGCTTCCTGAGAAGAATTTGGGTATTGCCAGTGCTAATAGAAACTACTGTACTCTCAGTGGGAGGCTTAATTTTGCCAAGTTTGAGACGCACAAGATTGATGACTGCTTAGAATTCATTTCATCCAAACAGCTTCATCGCTGTGGTATGTCTCTTTATTTGGGCTTCTGCTACTTCAAATTTCAAGTGTGCCAGCAACCTCAGTTGAGCCAACCGTTTTACTGCTCAATATTAGTTTGTGGGAAGATCCTGAGCTTTTCTTTCCTTCTAGTTTTTTCATAAGGTTGCTCGAGCTTGTTTATTAGGAACAAGTTGTTAAAGTACTGTAATATGTACTTTAGGTTTATGCTGTTATCTAAAACGATCCACCTTTACCTTTCAATCTGGTATTTGCAATAAAATTCAATAATTTCTGAATAATTGTCATAGTTCTGCAGGAACACGATTATCTGTCAACTTCGCTATAGATTTTCTCTAGGCCTCTCTCTCTCTCTCTCCCTCCTCCCTCTCGCCCTCTCCCTAAGGTGGGGTGATAGTTGATGTCTGCCTTCTCAATTTGAAAGACCGTTATGTTGAAGGATGGTACTGCACAAAATGGTTAGTTAGCTATCACATCTTCATCAATAAAGAATGGTTGTAAAAGAGCCGTAGATTGCTTATTTTAGAGGACACATAGAAAAATTAAAAGCTGTAGATTGCTTATATATATCTAATTTTGCAAATCCTTTTAATACAAATTGAAACCCCTTTTTCTGTTTGTTAGGGCACAACACAGTTCAGAGGATTAATATAAGATCTTTATGTTATTGGTAAACTGAACTGTGTCCAATTATTACAGTTCTCTAGAATAGGCAGTTGCAAAAATATGAAAGACTAAAAGTAATATCTGTGATACATGTCTCAGTGAGGCATTTGATCTATTTATTAAGGTACACATTTTAATGATTCAATGTTGGCAAACAAAGGGAGAAAGAAAAGCAAAACAACGGTCTTTGAACTCTTATATGTCCCCGATAAAAAAAAACAGGGAACTCTTATAATGTCAGTACTTATTTGTCCATATTCATCAGATTGCATCCTTCCAGTTGCTTCTAGGTGCACTCATAATTTTTTGTACCATTGTTTTATAAATTCTATCCATAGTGTTCTGTACTTTAAAAATTATGAAATTTGTTGCTAGGGATCCAGATGAATTCAGATGGTTGGCAACATGAGGCTCTTGAATGTGACAAGAATATTATTAAGGTACAGATGGCTGCCAAACTTGAAAACCTGTTATTTTGAGAAAGTACAGCCCGTGTAACTTATATTATTAGCTGGATTAGAGTCAGGCATATTTGCCATCATGTAAATTAAATAATGATAAGGAAATACACTTGGGGTTATAGTAAATTTAGAGAATTGTCAAGTTTTGCATTTGGATGTGGGTCCTTCTTTTATCCAAGAACTTCTTCAGTAGAATATTTCCAATAGGTTTGCATGCAGAATAAATTTAGGCTAGGAAAGTTCCTGACATGATACAAAGAAGTACCAAGATTTGTTGTGAACTGCGTTGATTCAGAATTTCAGATTAACAGACCTAATTAAGATACTAAGGCTTTCCCCCATTTGCCACAATGTATGATCTTCTTAACTAGATTGGTATCCTGGACTACAGTTTTAAATTTGGAAGCTCACCAGTTTGCAACATGTTACTTCCTCTATCTTTCCCCTTACTTCCTGAACCATAGTATGTATCTTAGCTTCCATTACTGTACATATCTTTTGTGGTTAAGATTAGGTAAACTGGAGGGCAGAGGTCTAAAGTTGAAAGTCCATGGAAAAGCAGTTCATTGTCTATGGGAGCATGACCCTGGTGACCAGCCATTGACACTAATATAGCCAAAATTTCAAAGTGGAATCCATTTATGAAATCCTAAAGCTGTTCCAATGTCCTCTAGTGCCTGATTTTAATTTTGTGGTTTTGTATCTTATAGGCACTATGCAAAAGTTCTGGAGCAATTCAATTTTGCAGCAATATAAACAAATACTCCAGTACTATTTGTATTATCATTATGTGAAGGATTTGTTTTCTTTCCTCTAAGAGACATACATTTATTTTACATGCTTCTAAGGCATGCATATCTATTAAAAAGTTACCATGCATCCTTTTGAAGGCCACAGGTGGTGGGGCATTCAAGTTTGCAAATCTATTCAAAGAAAAGCTTGGCGTTAGTCTTGACAAGGTAGACGAAATGAATTCTCTTGTTGCTGGAGCAAATTTTCTTCTAAAGGTGGGATTCTAACACCATAAGGAGATTCTAACACCATAAGGAGATATGTGGCATGATACGTTATCATATTTATGTAGAACTATAAAATGAAGTACATTTATGTAATACTAGTGGTCTTGCATGTTCATATCTCTTCCGCATAATTCTATCCTAGTTTTTGGATTAATGGCTCAGAAAATTGAAGTATGCCATATGTTTTGCTCTTTTTTTTTTCTTTTTCTTTGTCTTTTCCTTTTCTCCTTTAGAAAGATATTTAATGATATATTTGTGTAAAAGGCATTGAGCTACTTTTATTTGGAGCGCTTGAACTTTTGCCACTTTGGCATCTTCATATTTCAGTAAACATGTTTTGCCACTTTGAAATGTTACAAGCTCTGTCTAACAAGAGAACTCCCAGTCAATGGGCTGTATATATTACCCTTGAATTGAGAGTGCTAGGCACTTGTCAATGTCATATCATTTGTGTTATGATGTGCCCCTCTCCCAAAAAAAAAAAAAATCCCCAAACTTTTCCCAAATGGCTGGGTTTTTGCATTGCTTCTGTTTTCATGTTTGCTTTGAAGATGATTTGACTGACAATTTCAATGGGCATTGTAACCTCTTTTTTTCCCCCGGAATAGGCGGTCTCCTCCGAAGCTTTTACATACAGAGATGGTCAGAAGGAGTATGAGCAGATTGACCATAATGATTTATATCCCTATCTCCTTGTTAATATTGGCTCTGGTGTCGGCATGATAAAGGTAATGTTCATTATGGTCTTGCAAATTATCGAGTGTATCAAAAATAAAATGCTATGGTCTTTAGAGAAGAATAGGAAATAAAAACGAAATGGAGAAATTGAGAATAGAAAGGTGATGAGAAAGTTTTATTACATACCCTTGTTAAAACCGTTGTATATATACTTCCAAAGGACATCATTGTCCTGTGCTTCAGACTTAGTTCCACAAGCCCTAGAAAGCAGAGTTAAATTCAACACACTTTTAATGCATACCTTGTACATTATAACACCTGCCTTTTGATCATTTGTCTTCATGACGGGGTTTTCCAATTAAGACGCCTCTAATGAGATAAACGAAGCGAGCCAAGCTTAGTGCATTGCTCAAACTTGGTTTGAAAATTAACAAGCTTTAAAATGATGATTTTAACTTAGATTGTTAATTTTAAAATATTCTCAAGCAAATCTGTTCTGAGCCCCATCTGGGTTGGAGTTCAAATGACTTGGTTAGAGTTATATAGTGTCTAGTAATGAACCCTATAAGTTTTATCTATCATAGTGTTTGATTCGCCAGATATTATTTAGATCTTTTGATTGAAGTCTTACTCTTGTGCCTATAGGTAGATGGAGACAAGAAGTTTGAGCGAGTCAGTGGAACTAGTGTTGGTGGTGGCACCTTTTGGGGTTTGGGGAAGCTTTTAACCAAGTGCAAGAGGTTGTCCTGATAGTTTTCTCATGTCAATATAATCTTCAGTCATTCAATCATTGCCAGTCTGTTTAAAAGACTATAATGCATTTTTCATTCAGTTTTGATGACTTGCTGGAGCTTAGTCATAAGGGAAACAATAGAGTAATAGACATGCTTGTTGGAGACATCTATGGTGGAATGGACTATACAAAGGTAAATATTCTTGTTCTATTTATATAGTGCTGTATAATAAAGTTCTTGTTTCAGGCCTTTATCTTGTGCTGGAACCATAAGTTATCTAGGGGGAGAAAAGATGAGAAAGAAAAAGAATTAGCTTTTCAACATTGCGTGGAATATATGTATCCAAGCAAATCTTATGCCGATATGGCTAACTTTCTAATTTGTGCAATCAAAGTTTCATGACACTTACAAGATTCTACGGCACCCCCCCACGCCCCCACCCCCCCCAAAAAAAAAATTAATCCTTGTATGGCAGTAATTGATTTTTCAGTCAAAATCCTCTGTCACTGCACATTTTCTCTTAGGATTCATAAATTCAGTGAGATTTGCCATGTCGGTTCAGAGGTAGCTTTAGTCTACAATTCATTAGTTCAGTGAGGCACGTGGTACAAATGTACAATAGCTCTTAGTCAAGTGTGTGGATGTGGCTCGTGGAATAGGTTAATTGCTCGTGTACGTGTGCCTAAATCTCAAATTTGGAGAATCTTTTCTCATAGTAAAAAAAGCTGCTGTGATGCTAAGGGAGGAATTTCAGTAATCTATGTTCCCTGATGCTTATTCCAAATAGACTTATATTTTTTCGTAAATTGGTCATTTATGTGTCCAAAAAGGATTCTTCTGTCTGTTAGGTTGCTGGGCGTGCATAATTGGTACTGTTCAGATGAATAAAGGGTATTGCAGAGAGTCCAGCGAGATAATACAACTTTTGTAATTGAGATGTGTGCCTCCGTGATGTTAAATTTATGCCTGTAATGTAGGTTTTATGTTTCAGGCTGATGACCAAACGAACTTTTAACTTTTGCGATGGCAACAGATTGGCCTTTCATCAACAGCCATTGCTTCTAGTTTTGGCAAGGCGATTTCTGAGAATAAAGAGCTTGAAGACTACAGACCTGAAGATGTTGCTCGGTCACTCTTAAGAATGATTTCAAATAATATTGGGCAGGTAAGTGATCGTACGACTGACTTCTTGCATGGAGTCAAGCAAATGTCAATTTGTGAAGCAGATATTCCCATGGTATAATAACATTTTATAGAAGTAGTTTTTGATGTTGTAGATAAACCTATGGACAATGGTTGTGATCATTCCTTTCATCACATCTAAATTTTTCCTATTTCAAGAATGGAGTATAAATACATGATCCTAGTTTCTTCTCGCCAAACTTGCCTAAAAAAAGTAATTTCTTGTCATCATGGCTAGTATGTATTCCGGAAGATCATTCAGGGATCTATCATTGGGGTATTCTTTGGACATTCTAATTCATAGGATGGTATTTTGCCAATTCACTTGCAGAATAAGTATGGGACTTATATTTCTTGCATTATTGAGATGCAGTAGGTAAATCTTGTCGTACTATTGGACAGGACAGATATTTAGTCATACATCCCCCAATGTGGATATTTTTCGATTAAAGATGATTCTCTTTTGCATTATTGCCACCATAGGTATCTAAGTCAATAAAGATGTACGTATCATTAACCTCACAGTGCTTCATTGAATGGGTTCTGTTTTGACCATTTAGTTCTCGAGCTGTATCAGACATTAGTTATCAAAATTGAAAAATGTGTTTTGCATTTCTTTATTGTGGTATTTGATTTGTTTCGCTTAATTCTCACTCCTATCAGATTGCTTACTTGAACGCTCTTCGGTTTGGACTAAAGCGAATATTTTTTGGAGGATTTTTCATTCGAGGCCATGCTTATACAATGGACACAATTTCTGTTGCAGTCAATTTCTGGTAATTACGAGGAAGTCTATTTTCCATGCCTTATGATAACATGAGTGATTTGTATAAGCAGTGTAGTTGTTCTAGCTAGGTAAGATGATCATTGAAATTTGGAAATTTATCAAAATCTCATTTTTCTTAAATGCAAAATGCTGACACACTTGCAACAGAATAGACTCGATCGGTTTTCCATGTTAATTAATGCACAAAAACATTGCCATTCGGGTTTGTGTCTCTTTTCATCCTCGAACATAGCTAGAATTTGGTTTCCAGCCTGTCACTGATTTTAATTACATGTATCATAACCCATTATTTTCAGGTCAAAAGGTGAGGCAAAAGCAACATTTTTGCGGCATGAGGGGTTCCTCGGAGCATTGGGAGCGTTCCTGAGCTACAAAGGGCATGGTCTTGATGGCTTGATGACCCATCAGCAAGTGGACTCGCTCCCCAAAAGTGTATGTTGGAATGGAGATGAGCTTCGCAGTTCAGTTTTTGGGAATCTGAATGAAAATGGGAGTATCGAATGCAGTGTGCAGCTTAGCAACTGAAGTATCTAATCGGATTAACCCAATGGTAGGTGTCTTTCTCACCGTGTCCCCGCAGATTTAAGGTTCAAATCACACCAGTCTCCCTTCCTTGTTTGTACTATGACACCCCCCACCCCCCACCCCCCCCCCCACCCC